AAATCGGCCCAACTATTGATCGACCCATACGGCAAAGAGGAAAACTAAGTAAAAGTCGATCCAGACAAAGATAACCGGAACAACCTAACCTTCAAAGCGTCTATAGCCGATGCTTCACCACACTGAGCTAAGAATCGGCTAATGTGCTCATAAGTTGACACACCATCTTGTCCCAAAAATTTGGATAAGTCTGGAACTTTGAACTGATTGGGCAGAGGAACTCTCTCAAACCAGTCAGGGTAAGGCTGCCGATACAAGCTTCCAGTCTCTTTTGGTTTAAGCCCAAACTGTTCCCTCATTACATCAGCAATTACATCTGCCCATGGTCATTGTTGAGCTGCCCCTTGTGACTGTTGCTGCATGGGCTCGAACTGACCGTATTGAGACGCAAACTGAGGTTGAGCCAATCCCCCTGGCTGATATTGGGCTTGCGGGGAAGGAGGCTGATATTGATAATTCAAGTTACCCCCTTGGTAATTGTGAAGATTCAGCTGGATATTACGTACCAAGTGCTCAGGGACAACTTGAGGCATTAATGTGCCATCCGGTTGTACGTGGTGAACCAAGTGTTCTGGGACAACTTGATTTAAAAATTATTGCACCGGCTGACCATCAGGCGTCGCAAACCCGGCCGATGCGCTTATTGAACCTTGGTGCTGGATCGGCTGAACAATTTGCTGTCTTAACGGCGTTTGCTGAATCGGCTGCAGAGGCTGCTGCCTTGGTGGTGTTTGTTGAACTGGTTACCTAGCCTGTTGCTGGATTGGTTATACAACCTGCTGAATTGGGGGTGTCTGCTGAATCGGCTGCTGCTGAATCGGCTGTTGCTGTATTGGATCAACAACAGGTTGAGGTGGGAGAAACATGGCAGCAACCTGATCTTGGGTTAGCCGATTCGCAACCTGCCCACTATGCTGTGGCTGCTCTCTCATTAACAACCGAGGGTTCACCGGCTGGCCTGGCGCCATGGCTGATGAAGTAGGTAGGGGAGTTGATGCCGGCGCCGTTGGCTGAGTCGTTGGTGCAATGGAGGGAACCGCCTAAGTAGATGGCTGAACATCGGTAATCAAAGACCGATAATTTGGGAAGACACCTCCTTGCAAATAAACCGGGCCTACAGCCTCATGCTCAGCTATTGAACCATCAACTATTGACTTCATCATGTTTGATAAGATATTGACTAACACCCTAGACTGATTGATCAAAGCATGATGCACAACATAATCAACCCGATCTTGGAAGTTATTGAAAAATCCTGTGCCACATCGCTATTCTGATTAAGATTTCCTCCCTGTAGCCCCTGAGCACCATCTCCATGCACCCCGTCACCTTGTACTCCACGGACTCCTTGAGAATTGTCGCCTTGATTTCCTAGAGAGCCGTCGGTAGCACCTTTAATACTCGGCTGAGCCGAGCCGTCTGGAGCTTGTTTCCCATCTCCCTCCTTAGAAGAACTGGTCCTAGGATCATCAGCGACCACTTTTATTTTGTACTTCTAAACAAGTGTCCCCTTGCGGGTCTGCATGAATGAGTTCAAGAACTGATCCCGTGCTTGCTGCAAAATTTGCTTCAAACTCTTTCTTCTGCTCGGGTGTGAATTTTTCTTGATCGATCGGCATGACGTTTCCTTCATTGACGTCAGCAATCCTAACTTCAGCATCTTGTCCTTAACAGAGTCTGGGCAAGATGGTGGTGGTGGCTATTTCTCAGCCAAGAGGAAGAATTGTTGGCTGACTTCGTAAAGGTCCCACCAGGCATGCCAAAAGCGTGTTGATAGAAAACACGTGGCTTGGGAGATCTGCTTAACTCCAGTGCAGGTCCAAAGCTCGCCTTCGAATGTATGAGCATGCCAGTTGATTTGATCCTGTAATCAACAAAAAATAGAAGCAAAGAAACCGCGGTTAAATCTATAAATGATAGTCGATCGGCTAGGTGCAGATGACATATCATTTATCTTTGAGCCGATGTTATATATGTATCGATCGGCAGTCATGAATAAATAAGAAGGAACTAAATCTACTCGATCGGCTGTAAGTATTCACAATATATACTCCTTGTATCGATATATACTTAAATCAAGTGATTGGGATAGATCGGACGCCATGCCGAGACAGTATAAATCACTTAAATCGAAATATATATTAATAATGGGACTACATATGTTCATAGCATAGCCGATCATATAGATCTAGCATGTATCGGCTAATACTCCGATACCACTCTATACTAAGATATTAAAGCAAGTAGAATATATCAAATAAAGGCCTAATATACTTAAATGCAATAAGATCTTAAAATAAAGGGCAGATTTAACATGTCAATAAAGCATATAGAGTAAATATAGTTAAATCAGATAAGATCGGCTGAAACTCTGATGCTACCCTAATCAGCAACTAGAAGGCAGGCTAGAGGTTGATTTTTTAAGCACGACTTAATAGATCAAACTCAACTGATACAGCATTAAGTATGAAAAGAAGAACAATATCTAGACAATCAAGCTGCTGGAAGTTTCATAGAGTGGTAGATATCTTATATAATCTACGTCAACATCGAAATCTAACCTAATCGGCTGTCCTCTACCGACAGATGTTAGCCGATTGTAGATTAGATAGTGGTATTGCCAGAGATTATGTAAGATATATGATAGTTCGACGAATTACATAAACGAGATCAGAGTATCACAAAGATGGAAGCACTAATCCCGAGAACACAAGTCGTCATAACAAGTTTTACCTTTTGTTGAAGATCGAAACCGATGCAGCTCAACCCGAAAGCAAGAACTCGTCGAAATAAAACTAAAGCAAAAAGGGTGGCGATGCGCCGAAATTGTATTGAACGTGTGTGTTAAAAGTTACATAGGGCTCGGGTCTATTTATACCCGAGAATTACAAGATATGCCCATAACGGACACGACTAATATCTCTAACAAACTCTAAGATACTATAAGTCTTTGCGGCAGACTTTTGCCCAAGCATATCTCTAAGGAAATTACATAAAATATCCTAATTAATAGATACAATTGACTTCTCAAGACTCTATCCATGTGCGGCAATCATCTTGAAGCGCCTTAATTCAACCCAATATCATACATCAAGTTGCATTATCGGAATCGGTTGTATCAGCTTACCTAGTCCGACTCAGACCCAGCCGATCCTAATCGTAGCCGATCTGGACTCCAGCCGATTCCTGCTCTGTTTCTGAACTCGATCTCCGCCTCAGACTTTGCTTCGATCTAATCTTCTTTCCCGATGCTGATATTACCAAATTTGGTTGTTAACATGGTGGTGTGAGATGCAAGCGGCTGGGTGGCGGCGACGATTCAACGTCCCGGTTATCGCCAAAGGAACCTCCTCTCCATGGATCTCCTTCCCTGCTAAGGTTAGATTCCTGTTTTGGTCGACTGGGCTTGGTGGCTGGAGGAACAGGGTGGTGGTTCGAATTCGGCGATGGTCATTGTGTACTAGATGGGAAAGCGCTAGTGAAAGCCTTGCATGGCCTTTGGCTGGCGTCGACACCGTTAGGCATTATTCCCTTCCTTGGAAGGGTCTTTATGGTGTTTTCTATGTCTCTACCAATCTCCAAGTGAAAAGCTTGATCCAGTCGCTGGCCGACGAGCGGTTGTAGCATTTCACGTCATGTCCTCCATGGGGATGCTGTTTTGGAGAGATCTACCCATGCAACGATGGCCGTTGATGGACTCTTGTGCTTCCGAAGCACTGTACACCTAGGTGTTTGGAATGGCCTTAGCCGTCTTGGCTACTTTCTTGTTCGTGGTGGGCATCCAGCTCTCTTCGTTCGTCTTTGCTAGGTGGAGTCGAAGTTGTTACATTGTTACAGTGCGATGAAGCTTGGCAACGATAACACATTGCAGTCTCTTTCTGGGGGGTACTGGTGTTAGCCGGGTGGAGGAAATGGTGCGTCGTTTTGTTGTTTTGGTGATGCCTTTGCCAACGATGACGTGATCTCTATGGAGTCAAACCTGTTGCGTCACTAGGCAGCAAGCTCAGGCCTCGGCAACATTGACACTTGCTTTGCGAAGTTGAAGCTGTTTGCCGCTTTTTTAGCTAGCTTGACATTGATGTCCACCGTTGGGTTTCATCGTTGTTTAGTTGGTAGTTGGTTAGAGTTGTGTGGTATTCCATGTGTTGGGTTATTCTACTAGCTGCGATTGAGGTGCTTTTGGCGAGTCTCTTCTTGTTGAGAGATTGTTTTTTTCTTTTCCTTGTAAAGTGTCTGGGTTTTACTCTTGCTTAATTAATTGAAATGAAATTGACATTTCTCCTATCGGTTTAGTTTTTCTTTAAAAATATATCACTTTCACCCCTTTCTATAATTTTTATAGAAATTCTGAAAACTTATAAACTAAGTGAGAGTTTCAGAAATGGCCGTTTCCCCCCTGTAATCCACGGTCAAACTTTCTATGCGCTAGACGGCTAGAGCCTAGATGTCTAAAAAACAAGGGATAGAATGACGCACCGCTTGGTGAAGAACTGAAGTTAATGGCTTCCTTCTTCCTTCACTACACTGGACAAGGTCACCAGTGACGGGCCCAAACCCTCACCTTTGATGGCTTTAGGCTTGGTCAGTGATCAGTGGTCACTAGTGAGTTCGGTCACCTTTGACGGGTGGAAGACCATTACTGATGACAGTCACCTCTGACGTGCTAGAACTCTACGGCCCGTCAGAGGTAAGTGTCTGTGCTAACCCATGCCATTTTGCAACCCGTCATAGATGACTCACCTGTGACGGCTCAGAGTAAAAAACTATGTCACTTGTGACGACATGTATGTGCAAAACCGTCACTGGTATGGTCACCTGTGACGGCTTTTGCAATATGAACCATCAGTGGTGAGCTTACATCTAGAAAAAAAAATAATTTCCCCTAGGATTTGCTAACCATGCCTCTGGAAAAACAGAACATACACATGCAATATATATGTCTCCAGTTTCAGCCCATTGCATTAAAAGTTTCAAACTAACATCACATGAATTCCAAGTTGTCACCGAAAATCCATAGACATTCACACACATGCATTGCAAGTTCTCAAATTGAGCCAAGCCGATGCTTCAAAGCACCAGAAATAAATCCAGAAAAAAAAGAGAACATACTTCGATGCCAAAATACTGAAAAATGAGAAATACAGCCTAAGTGCCACAAACTTGAACATAGCATTTCCATCTTTGGTTTCTGAGCCTGACGAATATGGTATGACATACAAACTTACAATTAGATCAGCATAAGTACAGCCCCCAGTGCCTGTAATGACATCATTCAGAGAAGTTTAATGCAACAATATCCTAACAGCCTAACAACCAGATATATGTTACAGATGGGATGACAGTAGCAGGAACAGCTTCGATATGTTACAAATGCATATAACTATGCAAGAATAGCCTAACAGCTAGATAATCAGCATAAGCTGCTCCAAAACAACAAATTAAAATGGGGTCACTCTGACTGAGAAGGCAAAAATAAGTTTACCTCAGATTAGTATTCATTAGCTAGCTTTTCAACCATCCTTGATAGTCATCCATATGCATGTCAGTAGTTAAATATTATCTGAAAGAAACGGAAATAGATCAACTGGCAGAGGAAGCTCACCATTTGTAGAAAGAACTAGCGTCTAATTTGTTCAGCTAGTATAGAAATTGGGGGATTTGTAGAGTATGCAAGAACACAACCAAAAGAAACTTCTGGTAAGAGGTCTAACAAGGAAAATAAAAACAGATTTAGTGATGCATCAACTTAAATAGAACAAGAAAACAAAGCGAAACAACATGCATGCCCACTATCCAAACAAAATACTAGTACACAAAGAGCATCTAACTAATGATCCAATAGCTCATGATTTTTGATGGGGTTAAAGCTAGATGCATCCTTGGACAAGGATTTAGCCACAGGAACCACAGGAGACGCCGGAATTGGTTGACTGCAAGCTCAGATCTGGATGCAAGAGAAGGAAAGGGTGACTTCTGCTTAGCACTAAACTGAGTAAAATAGATGAGGCGACGGTGACTACCGAGGATGGGGTGGAAGGGGACAGCCGACGCCTGCTCTCCCCACGGCAGGTTGACCTCGACGACGTGGTGTGGTGTGGACGGCGGACCGCTTACCTCACGAACGGATCTGGTATCGCTGAAGCTAGGACCGCAGGATCTGGAGCACCCAAACTCGGGATGGTTGGATCCGCGACCTGTGAGTTCAGGGTGTCCGGATCTGGAGCCCCCGAGTTCATGGTTGCTGGGACCGTCAGGGGGAGGCTGGGGGATGTAGAAGCTCGTCGTCGACCGGAGATAAGCGACGATGGACGGAGGGGCTTGTCGATGGCGTTGGGCAGCCGCGTGGTGCCCCATTGGCCGATGGTCCTGGCACCGGCGTTGTCTTCGTCTTTGGCTCGATATGACCTGGATCTGGCGTGGTGGAGGCGGGAAGGAGGCGGCGACCGTGGGTGGTGGGCGAAGGAGGCAGCGACCCGGAGGCGGTAGGCGAAGGAGCCGATGACGGGGTGGCGGAGAGACGGCGGCGGCGACCATGGGGCGGAGGGCGAAGGAGGCGGCGACCTTTGGAGGTGGGCGAAGGAGGCCGGCGGTCGGTGGGAAGAAGAGAAGAGAGACTGAGAGGAGGAGGAGAGAGACTGAGCAGGTGGCGGTGGGCCCCATGGGTGGGGGGTGGGGGTTCCTTTTTTATATGTCAAAATTGATCACCTTTGACGGGTGCAAACTTAAAATCAATGACGGGCCAGAAGTCATATCCGTCACAGGTGACGGCCCATCACCTGTGACGGGTTGTAACTCCCTGGCCCATCACAAATGAGGTCATACCAGTGACGGGTTGGAAGTCAAACTTGTCACTGTCTTACCTGTGACGGCTTAAAATTCTGGCCCGTCACAGGTGAGGTGATACCTGTGACGGGCCACGGCTAGATGCCTCACCAATGACGGTAAACCTAACGACCCGTCAAAGGTGACGGTCATCTGTGACCAATTTATAAACCCGTCACTAATGTGCCGTCATAGATGTAGGGTTCTGGCGTAGTGCTTAATCTTCGCTCTCAGCTGTGATCAATGACAGGAACACACACACATCATCAGCCCCTAAAACCAGCAACCATGCATGCCTACTCTACACTCAACAAATAAATATACAAATCATGCATGCATGTTCTTCATATCGGTTATCTGGTCAATCACACAATCACCATCAAACAATGTGTGAGATTCTCTTGTTACTTAGGTACCAAGAAGTTATGCAAGAACAAGCTAGATCACACACATAATTAATTATGTAGCTAGCTAGCCGCCATGCGAGCGTTCAAAGCTATATCCACGTACTGGATCATCCACAGCGCGAATTCAGAAATCGCAATAATTTAAAATATTCTCACGCAAAATCGTCTATAAATTCGCATCAAAATCTGAACCCAAAACATTCCATCATCGCATGCTTTGCATTGCTCTCCCTTCTAAAAAACAATCAGAAGTCGCAGACAAGAAAGAGACGAAAATGTCTAACACCTACGTGTCCCATGTCGCTGTCGTTGTAATCCTGGCAATGGCTTCCCAGTGCTTCGCTGCCACCACCGGCGCCGGCAATGGCGTCTCGGGCGCGGACGCCGGACGCCGCGCGCGTGCCGCGCAGACGGTGGCGGGGATCCTGGCGGTGCACAACGAGGCGCGGCGCGCGGTGGGCGTGGCGCCACTGGCGTGGAGCGCGGGCATCGCCCGGTACGCGAAGGGGTACGCAGCGTCGCGGCGCGGCGACTGCGCGCCGCGGCGCTCGCCGCTGTTCAACTTCGGCGAGAACGCGTTCGTCGGGAAGGGGCGGCGGTGGAACGCGCCGGCGCTGGCGGCGGCGTGGGTGGACGAGGGCCGGCGGCGGTACGACTACGGCAGCAACACGTGCGCCGGCGCGGCGGCGGCCGCGTCGTCCGGGTCGTCGTCGCCGTGCACGCGGTACACGCAGGTGGTGTGGCGGAACACGACGCAGGTCGGGTGCGGCCGCATCGTGTGCGACTCCGGCGACTCGCTGCTCGTCTGCGACTACTTCCCGCCGGGGAACTACGGCACCGGCCGACCATACTGATCGTGTTATACATATAGTGCCGTGCCCCGGAGAATAATCACATACTCACTCCGTCCTAAAAAAAATCAATTTATACGGACAAATTTGAACCAATATATGTATGTGTTCATCTTTACAAGTTATTTTTTTTATGGGACAGAGAGTGTAGGTCGTTGTGCATGCGAGTGAATTACTATTCTGCCCAATAAGCCGTTGTGCTCTAATGCTTGTGCATTATATATATTTTCTTCAAATATAATTTAATTTTGAATTAGTACAATTTGATCTGTAATGTCTTGAGCTAAATTGTGAAGATTATGCTCTCGTATTCATTTTTCTGAAAAACAACGAACCAAACAATATTCAAAGCATAGAATATCAATATATATTTTAAATACTTTAGACTAGATATATACATGACAATTTATGTTTAGAATAGGCATGAAACAGTATAATTTTATCATCAGGTTTTGTGAAGAATGTATATCTATGGATATTATTGCTATACTGAAGGCTTTGTAAATGTTCAAAACGATACGTTTACACGACAGGATGAAGTAAATTAGAGGCAATCAGACAGACTAGCATATTTGTTTGCACCAGCGAGAGCGGTGGTGTCAGACATGGCTGTGCCTCGACGCAACCTGGGGTATGCACAGACCTAGCGTTGCCCCACGAGGCCACGACACAAAACTCAAAGAGATGCCAAGGACAAATACAAGATGTTACGTGTATTCGAATGGAGATTCATAAATAGAATGAGTTTTTTATTTTGTATTATTTTGTATTGGTGTCTATTAGTCTGTGATTGCTTATGTTATGTCAGCATGTGGGTAAGGTTGTTTGTGAGCATCATCATTGGGCCATGGATTTTTGACCTGAAGATACAAAGCCAGAACATGATGACCATAACAACCACAAACATGAAATTAGAGGATATATCATTATAAACCTGGTAGAACATTTACCTTGCCTATCTCATGGAGGATTGGAGGCACAACTTCATACAACTTTGAGACCTGAAAGGAAATAATATCAACAGCTCATAACTCCCCTACCCTCACTCTTTTCACAGTTACATGAATTTATTTTGGCTTCTCGGATTGGTTGTCATATAGTTTTTTTGGAGTTGGGCAAGGGGAACCGGTGGCACGCCGTTCCAGCGACCATGGCATTGTTTCCCTTGTGCATGGTGATCCCCTCGTGTCCGGTTCTGTCAACTGGATATGGGCGGTGAGGGCATGCATGTAGGACACGCACACATGTTTTTTTCGTAAAATCCCCTAATAATCGGAGAAATCGTGAAACAATACTTCCACCATTTACGAGAAATATAACATAAAGAAAAGAATATGCCGTTTTTAGAGATGGCGCTGAAATCCTATTAAGAATGTCCGCATTATTGTCATTACGAACTTGTTCGTCTCAACAGTTTCGACTTTCGAGTCTAGTTTGCTCGTAACCACGAGCGATCAATCCAAGTAATAAACAACTTATTAACAGTCATTAATCAATCGAAATTAACACTCCCCCTTGCATAACCCCGGTAATAAATCCCATGAGTTAACTATACAAAGTAAAATTCAAAAGCCAAACCCCCACAAAATTAACAGCAGCAATTAATTAATCAATCACCGCAGTATATAATAACCCCGAGTTCACCACAACTTCTCCACAAACAAATTAATCAACCAACACACCATGTCTCCCTTCTACTGCTGCCTCGCCGCCGTCCTGTCGCTGGCGTCGGCGTCGCCGGCCGCGGCGTCCATCTCGGTGTCCGCCGCCGCGGAGCCTCCGGCCAACAGTTTGTTGCCGGCGGAGCAGTTCCTGCGGGCTCACAACGAGGCCCGCGCGGCGGTGGGCGTGCCGCCGCTGGCGTGGAACGCGACGATCGCGCTGGACGCGCAGCGGTACGCCGGCGAGCTCCGGGCGAGCTGCGAGGCGCGGCCGGTGTGGGCGTGGGGCACCGACGGCTTGTACGGGCGGAACCTGTACAGGGGGAGCGGCCCGCGGGTGCGCGCGGGCGCGGACGCGTCGGCGCACTGGGCGGAGGGCGCGCGGTGGTACGACCGCGACGGCGACTCGTGCGCGGCGCCGCCGGGGCGGTGCTGCGGCGAGTACACGCAGATGGTGTGGCGCGCCACGACGCAGATCGGGTGCGCGCGCTGGTTGTGCCGCTGCCTGGGCGACACGTGCCCTCTCGTGTTGGACACCGTCGCCGTCTGCGAGTACTACCCGCCGGGCAACATCGCCGGCCAGCGCCCTTACTAACGCATATATATGCCGCGGTATATATATGTAGCACATGCACGTGCGAGCTCATAAAATGTTGTGGTGTAATAACACGTGCGTGATCAACTTTCAAGAACGTTTTTGTTCTTGCATTGGAACAAATGTTTGACAAATTAATACTACATATAAAGCCGTCAAAAAACTGAGAAGCACGTTCTAATTGTTGAAGAACTCTACTCCCTGTTTTTTTATATATTATTAAAGCACAGTACAAGCGTGGACGTTTTTAATGAAATGATTGTTACGGTTCGTATTCCTCACGCCACTACTTAATGTTCTCAACGACATTCAAAACAATCGGTTTTTGCGTGGACGCTGCCATGCTGGTCACTTCCTCCTCGGAAGATGAACCGCTATACGCCGATCACGTCCTCCACTACCATGGCTCGCCTCTCTATCTCCCATGCCACATATTTTTATTCTAATAAATAGGGGACTGAGGACAATGGGAGTTTTATCGCCACCCACTTGTGCTCTCACTTACTGCGCCTCATGACCTCCTCCCCATTCACTCTAGCCATACAGGGTTTCACCACTCCATCTGCAGAGCATGAAAACTAGTTAGGAGGATAACAACAGCGACAACATCTCAGATAAAATTTTCAAAACTTTGGAAATTATTATTGTGGACGGCTTCTACAGATAACCGTCTGCAAAATTCTTTTTTACGGACAACTAGTCCGCTAGTTTAAATATTTTGAACTATTTAAAAACAAACCGGGGCCCACCGATTTATACAGGTGACGCTCTGACACATCTACCTATGAAAAGAGTTTTCGTAGGTGGTTATTGAAGACATTCACTTTTGAGAACTTTTTTACAGATGGGTGTTTCAGACATCACTTACGAAAAATCATTTAACCATAATAATAGATAGTCTCAAGTACTTCATAGTTCTAATTCCTCGAGTTTAATCCACTGGAAATGACCAGTGCTAGCATTATATTACCCGCCATATCTAGCAGTGCCGCCATGGGTGCTTGGTAGATACGCACTCTACCTACTCTTCCGCTACGCCTCCTCCACCTGCACTAAAGCAAAGGCAACGTCTCCACATCTAGGTGAGGGCTGTTTTATCGGATCTGCACTTCTGTGCGCCTGTACGGTTGTGCCCTGTGCAATGCGATGTCGTTTGTCGAGTTGCCTATGACGCTGCAACTCCTCTCGTCTCTCGGGCATTTCTGCTTCTAGGTAGGCCATAGGCAGATACTAGACTACTAGTATTAGGTGTTGGCCCCCCACCATCATGGGCCCCCAGCGATCGCCTCGGCTACATAGCCCCAGGGCCGGCCCTGGCTTTTCCTGATCCATCCTGATTCTGCTTTTATCAGAGTATCAAGCTTGCTTGTATGATGATAGTACATTGCTTTGTTACCTTTTTGCTCGCTGCCTAGTGCTGCAATACATCGATTCAGTTTCTTGCTTCTATATGCTTGTTTATATTAAATGCATGGGAGGAATTAGGAAATTACGGAGGAAATCAATTAAAGGAAAAAAAATATTTCACTGCATTTTATATCTTTTATTTGGTCGGTCGGCCACATGTGCTTAATAAGTTATGAAAATCTTATTGCTTCTACGTATGTGTATGTTGTGTGGATGTGATAATAAGGTTGTGATACGTGTACTAGCGAATCATCGTGCCTAAACTCTTCGGATATTCCGGAATTCCATCCCTAGGTCCCGACATTAATTTTATTTTCTCCTCTTTTATTACTATATCTTTGCGAGGCAACTACGAATCGGGCGTCGGATTTTTGAGAGAAAAATCGGGTCCCCCTCCTGTGCGCTCCCCTCTACACATTCATTGCATGAATGCTGCATGCCAGCTACTTGCTTCCTATGCCTACATCTCAGCTACATGCAATATCCAATACTACCCTCACTTTCCCCTATCGATGCATATCTAGCTTTTCTTAACATGTTTAAATTATTTTTTCTCTTAAATTATTAATCCCATATACAAATAATGCAATATGATTGCATAGTTGTATTTTTTTAATTAAATCTTTACAACAAGATCTAACATAACTATATTTTAATGAAAATAATTAATTGATGCTTTATCACTTATAAAAAATTGTTTCAATTTGCTTCATAAGATGTTCCAGAGAGATGCAACATTCAAAATATAATAACTGCAAGACCGTCAACCATTGCATATGAAAGCTATTCACACTTTCACAGTCGGTGTAGCATAACTCCCCTAGTAAAAAACCATGAGTTAAAAGTACAAATTAAAAGCCAAAGGACTCACAAAACGGCAGCCATTAATTAATAAGAACCCCCGCTATATATATACAATCGCGAGTTCACCACAACTTCACCCCGAAACCACCATGTCTCCACTCTACTGCTGTCTCGTCGCCGTCCTGTGCCTCCCGCGGGCCTCCGCATCGCCGGTGGCGGCGGCATCCATCTCCGTCTCCGCCGTGCAGACCCCCGTCGAGCCGACGCCGGTGCAGTTCCTGCGGGTGCACAACGAGGCACGCGCGGCGGTGGGCGTGCCGCCGCTGTCGTGGAACGGGACGCTGCAGCTGGATGCGGCGCGGTACGCCGGCGAGCTCCGGACGGAATGCAGCCTGCGGCCGCCGCCGCCCACCGCGGCGCGGGGCACCGGCGACGGCGCCGCCGTCTACGGCCGGAACCTGTTCAAGGCGTACGGCCGGCGCCACACCGGCGCGGAGGTGGCGGCGTTCTGGGCGGACGGCCGGCGGTGGTACGACCGCGACGCCGGCCGGTGCGCGGCGCCGCCCGGCCGGACCTGCGGCGCGTACACGCAGGTGGTGTGGCGCGCCACGACGCAGCTCGGCTGCGCGCGCCGCACCTGCCGCAACGGCGTCGACACCGTCGCCGTCTGCGACTACTACCCGCCGGGCAACATCGTCGGCCAGCGGCCATATTGACAATGATCTCATCTGTTTCTGCGACACACGACACGCAATGAAATGTAGTACATACGATCGATGGTTCTGGTGAGTGATTGAGTTTTTGGAACAAATGTTTGGAGAAATATATGAAACATGCTCCAAAGAAAATTAAAGGGATACTCTAAGATAATTAAATATGGAGATTTAATGATGGCAGCTGCGATGAGGATTCAAATATGTATTGTCATCGGAGCTAGATTTGTTCGACCTCTCCATTTCCCATAATCTTGCCGAACAACTCTACTCTCTCCCAAGTCCGACCCAAACACGGATAAATGAACTTTTTTTACAAGGTTATATTTTACCTGGCCTCTACATCCAATCGGATGCATGTGAGCCTTTTTAAATTGGAAACTTAACCCCTCAAAACAACTCAATCTGAAATTTACTCATATGGAGATTTGAATTCAGATAACATTTTTACATTAGGAACTTAGCCTATCAAACAACCCAATATAAAATTCGCTCATATAAAGATTTGAACTCAGAGCCTTGAGGTGCTACTCAGGTCACATGCCCTTCCGCCCGATAAAAGAACCTGGTGATCGGTGTTGCAGACACCTTATCACTGTTGCTTGAATAAGTAGGAACAACAATCTTGACAAAATTAAAAAAATACATTTTTTAAAAAATTGGCCTTTTTTTCTTTTGTTTGGCACAAATGCAAGGTAGTTGTGTGGTTTGTAGCGAATCCAGAAATTTTCTTATGATGTAGAAGGAGCAGCTGGACCAGACTTGGCATGGGCCAGTTTTCACATTGAACACTCATTTTTCACGAAAATAAAACAAAACAAAATGAAATTCTGATGGTCGGTGATGGCTGAGTTAAAAATACAGTTATGGTAATACATCATTCTACACATTTTAAGGGGGCAAATCACACGAATTCCCTACCTTCCATTATGCTTCTAGATTCATTGTACGTCCTCTATCTGTTGAGCTCCGACGAGTGATGAACTTGGCAAATTTTGTACATATTCCTCAATCTTAAATAAATTTGGTTGGTCTATCTTGACCGGCCCGACAAAAAAATGAACTTGGAAGAGGAAGTAGGAGGTGTTCCCGACTTAGAGGGATAAGAGGTGAGGATGAGAGTAAGGGATGGTGGGCTGGTGGCCATGGTGGAGTGGCAAGGCGGTGGTACCAGTAGCCTCGACAGTGGGAGAGAAGGTCGGTGGACTTGTGTTGGCGGGGACGTGGGATCTAGAGTGGTTAGGGCGAATCGTTAAGGACGGGGAAGAAGGTGCAGGGGCACTCTACTACTGTTCGGAGGAAAGTGAAGCTAGGGGAAGAGGAAGAGAAGGGTGGTGGGTCAGTGGCATGCTAGGGCTGGAAGGCAGAGGAGGTGGGGTGATCCGGGGGAGAATGGTGACACGCGTAGTGAGGGTGCAAGAAGATGATGGGGTAGTTTTTTTTTGGGGGGGGGGGTGGGGGGGTGGGGGGTGCTGCACGAATCTTAAAATTTGTGCGATGTGAAGAGGGGAAATAAGCGATGTATAGATAGTATCATAAATCTAAACCAGGGACAGTTAACTATTTCCCACTGTTCACTTAATTATTACATCTGCAACCATGGAACCATTGAAAGAAATGTAGCCATTATATATATCAAAGCTATATTTGGTAGCTTCTTCCTTCGTTACTTTTCCCTGGATGGCAGAATAGGCAAGCACACCCAGTGTTAATACAGGTCCCATGCCTGCGAAAAATTCTGTAGCAATCCACCTCACACGTCTGCGGATCACACGCCGTACCCGGAGATATGACCACCGTTGTGCAGTTCTGCGCTTGGTCCGCTGCCAACTTGCTTGCCGGCACTTCTGTGGCCAAAAAATGCAACAAATTTATGTGAAAAAGTACTCTTGAAGGATATGCTTGTTCAGCAAATCAGTGTTGGAGTTGGGTGCAAATTAAAGTTACCTGAACTCATCGCCAGGATGGCAAGGGCCATAAGCATCAGATGCCCAATCCTCATGAAACTCTGTTGGTCGCACCGTTGAGAATGGGAGATGTTGCGCAAGGTGACCTGGGTCCCTTGGCTTGTGGATAGTTCATATATAGTGAAATGGCAAGGCTTTGGTTTAATTTGCTCTGGAAGTTGATATTTTTTTCTTTTCGGGATCAGTTTTGGAATATATGATGATCTTTAATGTGCATAATTAATATGGATATATTCTTGTATCTAGAAACAACAGATACAGTTAATAAATAGGTCATGGGCCACTACAAATTGGAGATATGCACATCCAGCTTGGCATTTATAGCATATATTCATCAGTGCAGTCATGGGGCCAGGCCACTAATTGTTTGTTGGGGCATTTTCTACTTCAAGGTTATAATGAAACAGCCTCAAAGATTTAAGGGGCTTTTTCGACCTTTTCATTTTCAAATCCCAACTAAAACAGCTTTCATTCCCCCTGGAAGAGCTCGTAGGAACAAATTGTATCCTTATCACCTAATTGTAGGAAAGGTTAATCATGAATGAATTTTAACATGTTTCATCTTACATATATCAATTGCTTTGCTCCATATCTTTCTCTGTAAATATTAACATCTTGCATTATATCAAAATATGAACATATTGCACAATTACTTGAGGAAAGGTTTGCAAACATAAGAACAAGAAGAGGTAGAGATGAAGACAAAAAGGTCTTTATTGGTATATGGGAATTTTGTGCTATTATTGTTGTTTGCTACACATCCCTTGGAAAAGCTGACCATATTTGTCACCTTGTGATGACACATGAAGCACTTGCTACGATGAAAAAGCTCTTGCATACCAAAACCACCTTGCACAGAAAAAAATGGAATGTCCAATATAGAAATCCTTACCAACAATCGTTTGAAAATTGGAAATTGTTATAGGGAAATAACTTGAATATATCTTGAGAAAATATATTTAAAGATCATTGATTCAATCCAACAATGCTAATATATTAATTGAAAATGTTAGCACACGAAGACATATGTTTCATGGGAACCAAAAGCGTAAATATGCTTAAGTGGAATATATTTTTCATAAATGACTAGTTTAAAACATTTTGATGACCACGGACCCAAACATGAGCAATTCAACATTTAAATAATTTTTTTGGGGGGAATATTAGCAATTCCAGCCGGGCTTGGTCTGGAGGACACGACAACAGTAGTGATGGAGGCGGCTGTGCTGCACACGGAGCAACGATGGATGTGGCGGTGGAGGGCTAGCCCTCTAGCTTGGGCTTCTGTGGTGCCGCCAACCGGCCAGACATATGCCACCGTCACTGTCATTTGTCGCTCAAGCACAGATATCGGTGACGCTAGTAGGCACCACACACCATCATGGAGGTGATATGTGAAATATCGATAGTGACATTCCCAATGTCGTAGCCTGCTACAAGGCGTCTCATTAGAGGTTCCCTATTGGTGCGGCATCCTTATGGCGATGTCTGTGTTGGTTGGGTTTGATGGCAATGGTGGCATTTGGATGAATGACTGATTTATATAACTCAATTACTCTCCGAGTTATCTTCCGCTTTGAACGTCAGTCACCTATAGTTATGGGACCGAAATTTGATCGGCAGGAGTCGGCCGCTGATTTCTGGGTTTTTGCTTTTCTGGTTTTAGGAAAATAAGGACTACATACATACATCTGATTAAGTTGTCGATAGAAATAATGGTTATGCATGAACAACTATATATAGAAATCTTGATCTCTTTAAGGTGGTAAACTAAGTAGTTTTCTTATACTATGTAGGTAATAACTGACTACGAGTGGGCTCCACCGGCCTGTCGGTGAACCAAAGCAAGACATGCATGGTGGCTTGTCCGTTTGTGCTAGCCATTGGCAAACAACAGTGTGGCTAGGGTGTAGTCCACCTGGGAAGGGCCATGAGTTCATTGAACTCATGTACACGTCTACATAGCAGATCTAGGGGTGGTCCTCATTGTCCCCGTGCTCCCAGGACCACCTAAAAAAATCCTAGCTCAATGCATATATATGTATATATATATGTGAAAATAAAATTTTGAAAAAAGAAAAAAAAGCTTCTTTATTAATGTATTATGATGCATATTTGATCAATTTATACTTCTAACTTGGACCATCCATATATAGATACGCCGGCCTTTGCATATCTACTAGAGGTTGCGGTGTGCAAGAGGAGGCGAGAGAGCGAGAGGGGTGCAGCAATTGGCTCGATGTGGGTCTATGGCCCCAGGCATCATTGACAAGGGTGGATATAAGAAGTGACTGAAATATTAGATGTGAAATGGATGAAAACATATGGCAGGTTCTTCCACTCATGCGCTACCTGTACATACATTGCTGTTAATTTTACTATAAGGGCAGGAGGTCACAGTGAACACACATGGTGAACACATGATAAAAATTGCATAGCCGTGTATGGTTGTATTCTACATTTAACCTTACTAACAAATTTAAATAGGCACCAATGTATTTGACAAAATTATATAATTTGTGCAGATGGCTATATGGATGCTACTTCATACTCCCTCTATCCAAAATTCTTAAGCATATTTTATTTTTTGGTTTTTTTTCCAATTGAGATGGTCAGATTTGTAGTTTTCATGTGCATAGTTAAATTGTTGACTAGAACCCAAGCAACTATCTGCAAATACTTCATTAGTTTGTTACGTGGAGGATGAGTTAATTCCTCCATGATTTTGGTGACAAAAGAAATATGACTTTTGGGTGGATGGAGTATTTATTAGAATGTTTATGAAATTTTGCATTGTGCTGAAATGATAAATATTTTTTTCAAGTCTTAGCTATTTACATGCAAATAAATTTATTAATGCAAAAAAAATAGAAACCAGGCTAGGATAAATTCATAAAAGGAAGCCATTAATACTCACATCGTCCAACCATATCATAATTAGACAATAGGCTATATTAGATTCTTATAAGGAAGCAATTAATACTCACATCGGCCAACCATATCATAATTAGAAAATAGGCTAGGATAAATTCATATAAGGAAGCAATTAATACTCACATCGGCCAACCATATCATAATTAGAAAATAGACTAGGATAAATTCATATAAGGAAGCAATTAATACTCACATCGTCCAACTATATCATAATTAGAAAATAGGCTAGGATAAATTCATATAAGGAAACAATTAATTCTCACATCGTCCAACCATTTCACATTTGTGAACCATGAATGAAAAATCTTTAAAAATAGAGGCAATTAATGCATAGCAAAAACAGAGGCAATTAATGTAGAGCCAACTAGTCCCAGTGAAGAATAAATAAATGCAAAATTTTGTCACTTACCCCCTTCTTTTATATTAAAATTGAAGATAAAACCTATTGGCTTATATGTCAGTGACCTTATATGACTCATATATCGATGATATAGGAGGGTATGTCCAAGAATTATAAATTAAGGGAGGGTGTATGACCAAATCTTTCATAATAAATTAGATGTATCCGAGGCATGTTGAACATGTTTGCCTTTCTTGAAAGCATAAAACCACCCCCCCTCCCCTTTCCCACCTCACATGTCCCACCTCTTCCCCACCCCATCCCCTTCTCCTCTCACTTCAGATCGACAAAGAGTTCTATATAGTAGAGAGAGATAGAGAGAAAGCTAGGGATATTGAGAGTCTGACATCTGAAAATTAGCTATTTGAAATCTAGAGAGTTGAGAAGTTCAGGAGAGTAGAGGGGGAGAGAACCGCGTAATCAGATGGCTTCGTCATCAAATCCATCAAATCTTCCCTGCTCTAGTGATGGTGTATGCATGTTATGCAAGGTGCTTACAACAGAGGTAGAGCAGCTGCGTTGTAGCACCTGTGCTACGCCATGGCATACTCCCTGCCTCTCCAGCATACCGCCCCTTACAGATGTGGCCCACTGGGTCTGTCCAGATTGCTCCGGTGATGTCACAGCCAGCTACCCGCCATCTGATGTTGTTCGTCCGGAGAGCAGCCTCATCGCTGCGATTCGTGTGATTGAGGCTGATCCGGTGCTGTCCATCCAAGAGAAGGCTCGTCGTCGCCAGGAACTTCTTGGCCATGCCGGTGATGCAGGGGCTGCAATAACTGAAGCTGTTGGGGAAAACGTAGAGGACAGTGAGAGCAACAATCCTTTGTCTATGCTGAACAAGAACATCAACTGCTCATTTTGTATGCTGCTTCCAGAGCGACCTGTCACTGTAAGTATGATTGCTCTTTTGCCAACCCTGTCAACCTTTGCTTTGGAACAGCCTAGAAAAATATAGAAATGTTTCCATGAGGCACTACATGTCATAATATGTAAGCTCATAAAGTGTAAGTTTGTACCATTACTTAGATCTCAGATCACACTGAAGATAGGCTCCTATTAGCACACAAATAAATTATGATTAAGTTGTTCTGATTTTATTTGAATTGATCTACAATTGCTGTACTTCTACTGCAAATTACATCAAGTATGATATATACATGAAAATACAGGGAGCTACTGGATTGTTGGTTTCTCCATCTATTTAGCCTGTTTTACTGCTCTGAGATATGCCTCTGTGGATGCAATTGATCTCCTTTGACTTTTGCCAGTATCTCCTCTTCCTTCTCGACAGTTGTGTCCTCTCTTCAGCAGCACCCACCTTCCCGATGTTTCTTGCCAACTTTATAATTTTCACCTTGTTAAGAACCTTTCTCTCTTGATTATCAGGCTATAGGATCTTCCAGTTAGGAAAGAGCTATGTATAGTTTTCTTCTATAGGGACAGTGATCATTACATGCATGGCATCTCGTTGCTTATATGCTAGCCCTCCTCCTATGAGCTTAATTTATGTTGCCATCGATCTGTCTCAACCTGGAAAATTTACATTACAAAAATGTCATGCACATATTCGTAGCCAAAGTCACATATGATCGCCTCCTATTGCCTTGCATAGCTAATAGTTCTGCATTCAGTATAACTTTCTAATACAATACCTATTGCCATTTGCACCCACTATGAACCATGCACAACTAAGTCGAATCAACCATGCACATATGTGTTTTGGATATTTGTATTATCTCGACAATTTTTAATCTGCTCCTTGTTAGCAAGAACGCCTCGTTTCATAGCATATGCATTTGTCTGGTACCATAATTTATCACAGTGAAATGACTAATGATCTCACAAAAAGTGGTTTTGTTCATGTTACTTTTTATCTCCGTCCTTTATTTAAATATTGAAATTTGTGGAAGCTTCATTTATTGTTTACAAAGGATATATTTCCATGGACAGACTAGTCGGCTGAGACTCATTATTATCTGGCTAGTTCATTTTCATGTTATTTTTCATGTAACTACATTATTATCCTATGAAGATAATGCTAATTAACCGAATACATAGGAATTTGAACACCATTTATACCTGTGTTTCAGAATATTTTACTTTGCTGAACATCAAATTCCATTATTATAGCATCCATGTCCATCAATTGTCATCACATAATATTTTCCTTTGCTTACATGTATTGTGCAGACACCATGTGGCCACAACTTCTGCCTGAAATGCTTCCGAAGGTGGATTGAAAATGGTAAAAGAGCTTGTGTGATCTGCCGAGCACCTATTACACAAAAAGTAGCACAAGATCTAAGAATTAACTTGGCACTAGTCCAAGCTATCCGCATGGCCAAGGCTGCAAACAATGCTAGCACAACTGGTGAAACAACGGTTTATCATTATAAAGAAAATGAAGATAAACCTGACAGAGCTTTCACTACTGAAAGAGCAAAGAGAGCTGGAATGGCAAATGCTTCAAGTGGACAAATATTTGTGACTATTGCACCAGACTATTTTGGTCCAATTCTTGAAGATCATGACCCAAGGAGGAACCGCGGTGTTCGAGTCGGGGACCATTGGAAAGATAGAATGGAAGGTAGACAGTGGGGTGCTCATTTCCCTCATATTGCTGGGATTGCCGGCCAATCTACACATGGGGCTCAATCAGTTGCCCTCTCAGGAGGTTATTTAGATGATGAAGATCATGGAGAGTGGTTCCTCTATACTGGAAGGTTTAATATTACTACCTGACCTTACATTGCGATTTGTTTCTGTGGTTTATCAAAAACTAGTTAATCCATTATTTTCTACATTTGGCAGTGGAGGAAGGGATCTAAGTGGAAACAAGCGAACAAGCAAGGAGCAGTCTTTTGATCAGAAGTTTGAGAAGCTGAATGCTGCATTACGTGTTAGCTGCTTAAATGGCTATCCCGTGAGAGTTGTACGGTAATGTTTTTTTTTCTCTATGTGCATCCATGACAAATTTAGTGTTAGTTTATGTAAAATCATCATTATATTATTTCCTATGGGTTGCTTCCGGGACCATCACAAAAAATCAAAGCCATCACAGAAGGACGTTCTTCTGGTAATGCACGGAGAATATATGTAGACCTCTATATGTTGCAAGATATTATTTGTTCCATTATTGTTATGTAATTATGATACGTTGCGAATAACTGTACTCACACAAGGTTATTGTCTTTTAAGGCTTTCAGTGTTACGTTTAGTATGTTTCCACTACATCTAATACGAACAATCTTGTTTCATTTCTTTGGAAAAAGTAATCCCAATTTTTGTTTTTGTATATGTTGTTCTGTTTGTTTATTAAAAGGTCTTTTAAAGAGAAGCGCTCACCATATGCTCCAGAGTCTGGTGTTAGGTATGATGGAATCTATAGGATTGAGAAATGCTGGAGGAAAACTGGAGTTCAGGTATTTATAGTTTTCATGAAACATTACAGATATTTTTTGTGTAGGCTGCAATGATTTTTTTTTTAGATTTACAAAACTGAATGTATCCAAAATTATAGTTTATCAACTTATCAATATAAGTGATGATTGTTGGAGTTTTTGTTTTTTGGCCTCAGGGTACATTCAAAGTGTGCAGGTATCTCTTTGTGCGGTGCGACAACGAGCCAGCACCATGGACTAGGTTTCTTATACATCCCTTATCTCATGTATACATTGCTATTGTTATTCTATTTATTTACTTTTCCATTTAATTTTCTATATTTACTTGAAGTGATGAACATGGAGACCATCCAAGGCCATTACCAGATATCGAAGAGCTGAAAAATGCAATTGATATTACTGAGAGGAAAGGAAACCCAGCATGGGATTTTGATGTAAGTTGTTGTATTATGTTCTCAGAAAAAATATTAGCTTGCACATATTGTGACATCTCCTTTTTCTTGTTATAGGCAACAGATGGATGGAAGTGGATGATTACTCCACCCATCAGCAGGAAGGCTGTCGTAACTGGAGATCCTAGAGGCAAGAAAATGCAAGGAGCAGCAAGGCATACAAATAACTTGTCAATGAGAGAAAGGCTGTTGAAAGGTTTTTTTTTTTTTTGTCTATGAATTGCAGTTCATAGTAGTGGCTGCTTGGCATTGCATTTCCACTGATTTCAGTCATATATTTTCTTTATTATAGAATTCAGATGCTCCATATGTAGGAACGTGATGGAAGAGCCAGTGACAACACCGTGTGCTCACAACTTCTGCAAGAAATGCCTGCTTGGGTCATATGATAATCTTTCCCTTACAGAGGAGAGAAGCCGTGGTGGTCGGACCCTCCGGGCACGAAAGATTGTTAAAAAGTGCCCTTCTTGTCCAAGTGATATCGCTGATTTCGTACAGAATCCTCAGGTACAGTAAAATAGTAGCAAAAATTAATTTTGTATAGATTTTAGTCATTTTTTTGCGAGGGATTTCAGTCATCTTTCCCATTCTTAGATGATGTATTCTTTGTTGTAAGGTAAACCGTGACATTATGAACGTTATTGAATCACTCCAAAAAGAAGCTGAGAAGGAAGATCATGCTAGGGTGAGTGGAGAAGGCAGCAGTGCAGCACTTGTAGATTCTGATGATGAAAATGACACTGCTTGGGAGAACCAAGATGATGGTAATCTGGATGAGGGAGGTTGCAACAATCCTGAGGACATGATAACTGAATCTGTTGATTTGAATTCTGTTACTAATGTTGATAATACTGAAAACAAGGTGGAAGTTCAGCAGCCTCACAAGCGTACCGCCGGTGCCGGGAAGGGGAAAGGTGGCAAATGGGCTAGGACAAGCTCTGCACCAGGTGATGCAGATGCCAGGAATGTTGTGACTTCAACTGAAACATTGGATGGAATAGCTGCTGAGAATGTGGCTGATTTAGTACAAATTGAGGATTGCACTTTCACTGGTGTGGAAAGAGCCGACCCCAATGCGTTAGAAGTTGATGGCAAGAATATGATTCCAGACTTTTCAGAAGCTGAGAAGGTTAACCCTAAACAGGATCAAGAAGTTCTTCCATGATGTGTTTCCTTGCATACTTGGGATGTTTAAAAGTTTTTAAGAAGTAGTATTATCTTATTATCTTTGGTGACATTCAGATTGGGATGATATCATTTAATTTGGGAATAATTGAACTCATAGTGGGGGTGCAACTTTCACTTCCTCAGGTTCAGACATTAAGCTGCTGCATTATTGAAACTTGAAACATATGCAAATTGCTTGTGAAGTTTTTTTTGTATTCTTCCTCTTTTGTTATCCCTTTTTCTTTGATTATATTTTTTTTTGCTTGCCCTGTTTACTTTGCAAAAACTAGCTTGGACTGAAATGATTCATGGGTCGTGAAATGGAAGAAATAGTGGTGATATATATTGTTGTTGCATTGATTCCCAGTTTCTTTCACGGTATAATGCAGTGGTGGATTTACCACCCGGCTTGGGCAGGCAGTTGTCCAGGCTATATGAACGCAAACTATCAAACTGGACTGATTTCTCTACGGTAAAATCCATGGATTTAATTACTTCCTGCACAAACCAAGTAGATTAGATTTAACTACTCTAGTTGGGCTGTACAAGCAGCAAGCCTTATAGGCTTACAGCCCTGTAGCATGCAATTGAGCCCTATCACAATGAATAACATATGGCATGCTCAAGCTTATACGAATCATCTTGTCTTTCAACTATTGAAAATTTTACATGCATTTTGAACTAACAAAATTGTTTTGCCTTTAATTAGTAGTAAAATGAGCGTATAGGCATTACACATGTGGGTAGCGGATTTGGTTAGACTTTCCCATGCTTTGTGAAATTCCTGGCTCCTTCACTGGTATAATGCATTACTAGATAAGGGAAGGCTCCTATATGCTAAGTTCTAATTGATGTTATTGGGTGTTCCTCTCAACACCTGGGAACTTAGTGGTCGTATCAACAGATATTCTCGATAACATCTGGTGCATAACGTGTGCTACAAATGAAGAAGAGGCAGAGGTTTTTAACCCTCTCATGAGTAGCACGCCCAACCAGGTTGATATGGTAGGACAGAGAGGTAGAGCTGAAGTGACTTTCTTGGAAGTTGAATTGAGTTGCAGGTTTGCTTGAAGTTTCCTCAAGGCTGTAGTGCTCCAAAGTGAGTACAAAAATTACTGTGTGATGGATACCATGATGATTGATGAGCTTATGATAAAAAAAATATCGAAATTTTACAGTGCATGGTTTATTGGTTTTGGGTGCAGAAATTTGGCTGCTATTTTATTCGAATTTCTATTGAGCTTGATTGTTTTGACTGAATTAATTGGGGTACCAACTCAAGTGATAAAATCATCAATCTTTTATTGCAGGCTATTCATGCCACCTAGTATTTGTGTTGGTGTTTCCATAATTTTTTCAAACATTAGATGGCATTTAATTTATTTTTCCAAGTTAAAATAATGCATGCAAATGCAATTAGGAATGCGAGAAAAAAAAACAGCCAAAACCAACTAAAAGAACATATATTCAAAGGCAAGCATCCACAGCTCATCATACTGTTTTGAGGACTTTGTTTCGGTTTCTTACATTAAGAGTGAATTTAAACTGGATTTGAAATGTAACATGGAATTGGATGGTTTTGGTGATATTCCAGCTCAATCTATTTAATATTAGGATAGTGGACCATGTTATGATGTACTCCATAAAATATTCACATTTCATTCCATTGGTGGTTTTGCTACGGAATAACGAAAAAAATCATTGGTTTAAATCTTAATTGAAAATTCTACCGTTGACTGAGCTAACCCTATCTTGAATAAAATAATATTTCTTCTGAAAACTGTTGATTTTCGTTTCGTACGACAAGTTTAGCTTTATCTATGATCAAATTTTCCTAGTCCGATATGTTTTATAGTGTATCCCGCACATGAAGGTCAGTAAAGGATGTTTGCTTTTTAAATGTTGTTGGTATATTTTGATAGCTCTAGAAGAGTTAGAAAATCTATTTGTAATTAATTTTATTACTTGTAATCATGACAATAAACCTTGATATAACAAATATGAGTTTTATATTCCCTCTTATTTTGGTTGCATTTAATGCGGTTACTTGGTTGAATTATTTGTGACTGACGTTTGATTTATCTCTTCTTGTATGTACTATTTTGAAACTCTTTTATGCACCGGAATCATAAAGGAAAGCTTATATAATATATTTCAACACTATAAGAGTAATTTAACATCAAGAGCTAAAACTTGGGTAAGTTATAATGCTCACCTTCATTGAGTGAAACCATTGCCGCTATAAAGATAGCCAATTTTGCTTCACGACATTCAAAGTTTATATAATTTACTGGTGAACATTGAAAAAAATATCCACGGTTAGAGGAGACGTCAAAACTAATAATTTGATGGAAAACATGCAATCAATATTTTATTATTTTTTCACCAAAAGGATAGAGAAACCCATTATAATGATAAATTTGTCCCTCGGGCCAACATATGTTACTATGATTGGTTTGGTCGAACTAGACCAAACCAAACCAGGCCATGAGTATATTTTGCAACCTTTCCCCCTTTTTTAAAAAAAATAGGTTTTCATTTTTTACCCTAAATATATTGCTACCATATATCATATTCCTTCTTCATTCTAGAGATAGCTTAGAAGCTTCTAGCCCGAGGGGCAATATCGTCCTTTTGAAATATATCTCGCCGATTGGACTGGAAATAACAAAATAATGGATGTGGTGTCGACCTTTGGCAAATTACCAGTTTTTGAAGGTGTTCTCCCACCTTTTGCTATGTTTACCAACAAACAAGCTATGTTTAAGTGACCTGTGTCAATATTTTACCAAATGATAATGACAATACCTATAACTTTCACTTATACATGTAACTTGATCTATCACCTATGTCTGACAGTTGAGAAGATGGTTAGGAGATATGTTCCATAGAATAATATACTGATCCTTCTCTTCATGGGCCAATCGGCCTAGAGTATATATGTGCCATCATCTACTTAACACCGTCATCAAACTCAAGATGAGAGCAGAGGATCTGAAACATTGAATTTGAGCAAGTGAAGTTAATGTTATTTCTCAAGTCTATGCATTAGGATGCTCATCAGAATAAGCGGTTCTCAAGATCTTTATAAAAAAGCATCAACATCTACAATAACAAATAAATGCACTATCAAGACATAATATTGTGGATTGAATGAAACTAAATTGATGTATATATTGATGCACTTATTTATAAACTCAGTTAATGTTAGAAAACAAAATGCAGATCACCTAGCATGATGAGGTCTACTGCATCCTCATCAATGCCCCCTTTTGTGACTAAGAAGACGAGACCATTCAACATCCCCTTTTTATCTTATGTGTGTCTAGACAGATGTGGTTCTCCCTTTTGCATCAAGTTGTCCCTTGGGCTCTTGAACCACAACCTGTGGTTGTGAACTTTGATGAATGGTGGAACCGAATCAATGGTATGGTTTGTGCAAGTACCAGGAAGGGTATAAACAGGTTGATCATGCAAGGAGCTTGGTCTATATGAACGATTGCGTCTTCAATGGAGTACCTCCAAGATTATCAGCCACTTGTGGAGTTTGGCAGGGACTAAGGGGCTTTCTGTAATTATAGACCTTAGCTAGGGCCTTTTATTTTTAAGTTCCTTTTGGTCGTGTAACAAGTTCGTGTACTTCTTAGTGCTTGGTGTGTTTGGACGCCTTATTTCTTCTCCTATTGACGCAATGATACGCTTCTTGCGTCTTCAAGAAAATAAACTTAGAACAAAACTATATGACTTATATTATAAAACTGAGGGAGTACTAGTTAAATAGATTCTATTCCACCATGAATACAAATTGCCATGCATAGCATGACGAGGTCTACTGCATCCTCATCAATGCCCCCTTTTGTGACTAAGAAGACGAGACCATTCAACATCCCCTTTTTATCTTATGTGTGTTTAGACAGATGTGGTTCTCCCTTTTGCATCAAGTTGTCCCTTGGGCTCTTTAACCACAACCTATGGTTGTGAACTTTGATGAATGGTGGAACCAAATCAATGGTATGGTTTGTGCAAGTACCAGGAAGGGTATAAATAGGTTGATTATGCAAGGAGCTTGGTCTATATGAACGATTGCGTCTTCAATGGAGTACCTCCAAGATTATCAACCATTTGTGGAGTTTGGCAGGGACTAAGGGGCTCTTTGTAATTATAGACCTCAGCTAGGGCCTTTTATTTTTAAGTTCCTTTTGGTCGTGTAACGAGTTCGTGTACTTCTTAGTGCTTGGTGTGTTTGGACGCCTTATTTCTTCTCCTATTGACGCAATGATACGCTTCTTGCGTCTTCAAGAAAATAAACTTAGAACAAAACTATATGACTTATATTATAAAACTGAGGGAGTACTAGTTAAATAGATTCTATTCCACCATGAATACAAATTGCCATGCATAGTTTCCTTGTTTTTGTTGAGAATATAGGCATATAATGATTTAATATATTCCATAAATAAATCATGACATTACAGATGTATACTAGCATTAACGCATCATTAGATCTACACATGTAAACTAAGCAATAAAACATGAACAGATCAAATATGCGCAACATATCGAACACGTACCGAGATGGCGGAAAGACCGGTTGCTCGGCAGGAACTACTCGCGGTAGCGAGCGTCGACGAAGGCGCGCAGGACGCGAGCGGAGAGGAAGGCGAGCCGTTGCGGACGAAAAGGGAGCAGTCGCGCGAAGCGCTTCCCAAAAACCTTATTGCTGCCTTCTCCCGGTGCAGGACGTCGAAGGCAGAGGTTCCGGAGACCTGCTCTCCCGATCGCCGGTGCACGCTGGCAAGCGGGATGGAGTAGTCCACAAGCGACGGCGCAACACAGAGTAGGAGGCAAACCCTAGATTGATTTCGTGTATTTTGCGTGAATGCGGCGGCTCGGTTTATATAGAGATAGGTCGCTTGATCAGGGCGCCCGGACGATCTCCATTCCGCGTAACCGAACCGGATAAGTCGCGCGTAACTTATCCGGATTTTTCGGAATGTTTCCAAAACAAAACAAATCCGAATTTTCGCCAAGGGTGATGAGCCAATTTTGTGGATCATTCGACGCGTAACATCGTGCACGCGCGCCGCAAGGTAGGCACGCGCGCCGCCTGCCCTACCTTGCCAGGCGAGCGAGCGCGCGTGTGTTCCCCCTCTTCTCTCCACCACACATGCTTCAAGTGGCTAGGAGGGCATCCTCCCTTTTAAGGAGGTCCCCCTCTCCTAGAATAAGCAAGGTGGTACTAAACTCCACATGCATGCCATCCCATGAGGTGGGCTTTTGTGATTTTCCAAAGAATTAATCTTCGAATGGGTCTTAGCCCATCTATTAATTCCAACAGTTTTCACCATAGTTGACAGTAACATTTTTCCATGGACATGCTCCCCTACCACCATCACTGTTGAGGCAGCATTGCCAATCAAATCTGATTTCGCATTGAAATCAACATTAGCCATTGATATTAATTTATTTACACTAATCAGTGTGGTTTTATGGTGTATTGTTAATTGCACATCAGTTCACAAGCTAGAAGTCATTAAGGAAACACTCTACACTATTTAAAATTTATGTGAAAAATTCTTCATAGTGTGTGAATATTCTCTACTTCACAGTGGTGTACATTGCAACCAAGGAGTTTCTATATTGGGCCGACATCAGTTTATTAATCATCATACATAGTTTTCACAAGTATCTTCATATTTTAGTACTTTCTAGCTAGCGTTGGGTTGGAATCCATTAGGAACCCACCTCTCGAACTCAAATAATAGCAGGTATCAGTACACAAAGTAATTGAGGGTTGGAAGAACCAAAGTACTTTATGTACAGTAGTGGAGTTGGTGTTAGAAGATGGAAGGAGTACAAGGCCAAAAGTTTGTTCAATTCCTTTGAAAAAGCAGTTGTTGTTGCCTTTGTTCTCTTCCTTGTGCTTGCTTGGGCCAGCCATAGTGAGTTAATACAACAACTCAACTTGTATTGACCTGTTGCTAGCCACCGGTCCTAGCAATCCCCTTTGCTTTAAATTCAGGTTGTTCCCAAGCCAATAAGTTGAAACCTCCTAGATCTAATGACTGAACATGAAGTGTCATGGCATAAAAAGTTACCTTCACATTTAACAAATCACTTTCATCATTCCGGCCGGGTGATTTGCTTCCAGGCATGGTTTCATTCATGATATTATCATAAAAATGGTTCTTATAGTCCATGTCTCCACTCTGCTTCGTGCTAGGAAGTAGGAACATGATAGAAGTGTTGGGATATTGATTTGTCTTTGCAGTTACAACCCATTTTTTATAGCGCAATATCCGTGAGCATATTTTCAGCAAAGCATCACAATTGCATTTAGGATATGGGCATAGTGTTGACTTCATTTCTCCTGTGATGTCCCTTTGCTTGTATTACTCCCTTCCTTCCATTTGGACAGCACCTGAACAACGGCCCCAAAAATTCAGTGGATGGTAACTGCGAAGCAAAATCAAGATCCAAACACTTTTGCATTTCCTGCTCAAAGCTAGCATCAATTGCAATACTCCTATTTTCGTCCACTCATTTCAAATCTATATCCTTGAAATTTTAGCCGATTCCTTCTATGCCCCTGAATTTTCTTCACTCCTTTATATACCTCTGAATTTTGATTTGGATCCCTTTCGTACCCTTGCCATCAATTGACCATTAGTTGACCGTTTAATAGGTATAGAAAAGTTAGTTTTACCCTTCAATATGTGAGAAATAAGTAGAAATTTGTAAACTGTATTGTTGGAAGTATAAAATTTGTTGTGTGATTATCATATGCATAAGTTTGTTGTACATAAAAAATAATATATATTAAAAAGTATGTGTAGCACTTTTTAAAATGATAAATATAGTTTTGGAAAACATTCCTATATAATATATACAACTGGAGAAAATATGTTGAACTATCATAAAAAAAAGCTACATATACTGTTTTAATAAGTAAATAAATATTAGTTTTATGTCATTATATAAAATTAAACTTTTTCATAAAAAATACCTGGTATAATAAAGTCATAAATATAATAGTCTTATATTATATAGATACTATACTACATATGAGGTGTAGGCGTTAAAACACACCCCCCGCAGCTTCCCCCCCCCCCCCCTCCTCGTATAGTAATCGTCAACTGTGGCCCCACCCCAGAAACCGGCCCCTGCTTCTTCCCCGCGCTCTCCATTATTTTCGGATCTAGCCCTCCCGTACACCGCAGTTAGCCAAGCCGCTCCGCCTCGTTTCCATCGCCGCCACCACCGCCTCCCCGTCCGCCTGCCGCCGCCGCCGTGTGGGAGGGGATACCAGACTTGGGAGGTGACGGCGACGAAGCAGAGAAGGCGCCCACCCTCTCCCCTGCGGCTGTGGCTTGTGCTCGGGGATGGATGCGGCGACGGGCGACGGCGACGCACTGCGGCAATGGCGAGCGACGGGCTCGGCGGGGCTGTCCCCCGCTCGAATCCGGTGACGACGGTCGTCCTCCGCCCGGATCCAGTGGCGGCGGGCGTCCCTCGCCTGACCTCGCACGGATCCACCGGCGGCGGTGGGAGGAGAGCAGCGTGCGGCAGGCCACCTTGCAGTCCTCTCCTCCTCTTCCTCCTCCCGCTTCTTCCTGCCCGCTGCCGTCATCGTGGTTGTCCTCCACCAGCTTGCCGCGTGGCCGCCGCCGTCTGCCGATGGACGTCGACTCTGACCCGGCCGCCAAGGGCAAGCCCACCCAGATGGACCTCGAGGACCAGGTACGCCGCAGCCGCTCGACTCGTCCCCACGGGAATTCTTCCTTCAGTTTTTTATTGTGACTGCCTAAGCTTGGAGAGCATCTCAATTTCTGTTGAAACACTTCAGGGAAGCATTTAGCTCTCAGAGCATTCATGAGACTTCCATCTATAATCCTACTAAACTTCTGGCTGGTTCGTTAGTTCTATGTGATCTGGATTTGGTTTGTGTAACACTAGCATCCATTGATATTCTGAATTTTTCAGGCTTCTATACATCTACAGGTTTCTGTAATTGATAGGTTAAGGGCCCCTTTGAATCACAGGGTAGAAAAAACATTGGAATAGGAAAAACACAGGATTCTGACAGGAATTAAAGTGTAAAACAGAGGATTGCAAAACACAGGAAAAACACAGGAATGGTCGTTTGATTGGAGCGCAGGAAAAACGCAGGAATCGGATGAGAGAGATAGACTCAAAGGAAATTTTCCAAGAGGTTGGAGCTCTTGCTAAATTTCCTCCAAAATCCACATGTAATGTGCCATTCCATAAGAATTTCATAGGATTTGAAAAGCTTCAATCCTTTGAATCAAAGGGCCAAATAGGAAAATTTCCTATAGGATTTAAATCCTATGAAATTCCTATATAAATTCTTTGATTCAAAGGGGCCCTAACAAGCTTTTCTAATTTATTTATTTTTTGGTGATTGCTGCTTTTGCTGGATCAAGCATCATGAGTGAATAGTCCTGATAGCCGAGTTTTTTTTTTTTTTGCAACGCATGAAGAACCATATGCTCTCATTTTAATTTTCATTTGTTCAGTCATGAATTGTTATTGCAATATATTCAGAAAAGTGCTCCCATCTGAATTTCATTTGTTCAGTGATATATTTGTGTGTGCAATATTTGGAAAACTGCCAATAGCATCATCATCAGGTTCTCTGATATTTTTTATAAATAAAAACTCTAGAAGCTTGATTCAATAGCAGTTCACTGAAATTTTGTGGTTCAACAGAGCATATCAATTGATTTTCTCTGAACTGCTCTCTACATATGATCCTTTCGATCATAGTTTTTCGCTGAATATTTTGGTTGAACAAAGCAGTTGTAGTCCCCTATGAGCTTCTTTCTGCTGTAGATGTAGTTCATGTTCTGATTTTTTTTTTTTTGTTGATGAACAGATTTCTCAATTTTGGTCTACTTGATTTTTCATCTATAGACTACAGGAATGCTCTGAATTTGTGGAGTTTTCTGCACCTCAGCTGACGATCATGGGGGAGGCTGCAACTCCAGAGAGGCAGGAGGATGTTGTCCAGGTGGCGGGTCACGCCTCGTCGACAGCATAGATCACACATGGGCAGAGGAAGCTGTGGATAGCATGATGGGTCTGCTAGCTGCAAGGTTCGTTGGGTTGCAGCTGAGCTATGCATTTTTTTAGCTCCTTTTATTTTTCTCAAGCAATTATCTTTGTGGTTCAACAAAGCAGATCGATACATGTTTTCCTCAACTGCTCAATGCATATGGTCCCGTTGATTAGGCTCTTGATTTTCTTGTAAAAATGCGTACAACCTGTCAATCCATTGAATTTTCTGCAATTTTATGGTTCAACAGAGCATATGGATTCATTTTTCTGAAGCACTCACTGCATATAGTCATGTTGATCAGGGTCTTGATTTGTTCTACAATTGTGTAGAATCTGTCGATCCATCGAATTCTTTTTTATACTGCTCTTGATTTTGTACAGTTCATTGGGTGGAGCTTTCTCTTGGGGGGTGCTTTTGCCTGCCATGGCAAGGCCAGCAAGATGGGATGAGGCTTCAGCTGGCTAGTGAGGATGGAGATGAAATCAGAAATTTACTACCTGTGAGCTGAACTCAGGATTTACTGCCTTTTGTAGTTAATAATCAGCGTCGTCGGCCCTGATCTACGTTGCTATATTAGTGCTGGCATCGATCGGTATTGGCATATGTATTAGCGGGTGGTGTTGATTTGATTTTGTTTATTAGTTTTGTGTTTTTCTGCCGATGTATCATTGCGTGCATTATCAGATTGTTGATGTAACACCGACACTGGATCAAACAATTCATGTTTGTAAAGAAATTATTAAATTGTGGTTAGGTTAATAATATGAATCATAATTTTTTACCTTCATTTGTTTTGTCACTAAATACTCCAGCGGCCTTGTGCAATCTGCAATATATTTACTCCTGTATCAGGACTAACTTATTTTACTAAGAGAAGTCCAATGACGTGCAAATATTAATTTATTTACTAAGAGAAGATTTGCAAACCAATTGGGAGTACTAATGAAGAGCTGAGAACGATCTGAGAGTAATTTATTTACTTAAAGGAGTAACCAAATTGGGAAGGGCTGAAAATAACCTAGGAGTAATTCATTTACTAAGAGAAGAAATCAATTTGGAAGTGCGGAAGTGTTAGTAACTCATTTACTCTTAGACCGAAAGACACAATAATATTGTTACTAATGGGCCAATCACCAAAAAAGGTGCGGGAGGAAGGAAAAAAAAGGTGCGGGGAATATTTTGATAGTAACTTGTTTACTTATCGAACAAAAACAACTGATAGTAATTGATTTACTGAACGACAGAATTTGTCGGAGAGAGAGGGATGAGGGAGTTTGTGCAGGATGGATGTGGGTGGGGTGATGCGGGGGTGGGGGGGTGGGGGGTGGGGGAGGGGTAGAGGGTGGGGTGGTGGGGTGGGTGGGTTGGGGCGGAGGGGTACGGTGCGTCGAGCGTTTTAGTTATAACGCACCCTGGGTGCAGTTTAGCGCGTCCCAGTCTTATATAACAAAATTATACACTTCCAAGAGTATAGCTAGTCTACAATTTCCAGATTTCCTTCATGTCTAAGGGCAAAAAGGTCCTTTTCATTGAAATTAAACATTCAACTAATGGAATGAGTATGAAAGGGATCAAAATCAAAATTCAGGGGCATACAAGGGAGTGGACAAAACTCGAGGGCATAGATGGGATTGGCTAAGCTTTCAGGGGTATAGAAGAAATTTTCTCCAACACTCCCTTTTATAGCTTGAAAGGGAACCAATTAGAAACTTGCTTGTTGTGGTGGAGGGTATGGTCAAATCGGTTGTGGCCATGGTGGCACCAATTGTTCTGTGGCCCAACATGAGTTGAATCTGGCCATGGCGCATGCCACAACACCCATCCTCGAACCACACCACCTAAGTAAGGAGGTGGCCATGGATTTCTCTTGGTTACTCCATCAACAACTTCTTGTCGTCTTTGGTGCATTTCATCGAGCACTTGTCAGACATCTCATTTTCCACACTGATGACGGTGTCAAGCTTCAGCCCATGAACTCCATCAAATCTGTGATTACCCCCCAGAGGCCTAGCCATGAGAAGGAATGAACCTACTACAAGCGACGGTGTTGACTTCAAGGCCCATTATTAAACACGGCATAAGTGTGTTCTGGTTTATGTTAGCAATTGATATCGGTGCCAAGTTACTCACGGATTGGATGAACACAACAATGTCTTTGGACACACATGCCTTGTTTTAGAACAAAACCACGACTTCACACACATGCCTTGTTTTATAACAAAACCACGACTTCATCGGTACCACCCTTGACGTCGAGGCCCAACATCAAACACTTGGCATCCGTCTCCTTGGAACAATCAGGGGTTTCAAGGTCAGGGTTAGTGTCGAGGCTGGTGCATTTCATCGAACACTTCCAAGGTATGACTTTGGGAAGGTGCTTGGTGACAATGTAGGTAACGTGATCCTTGTCCTTACCATCCTCAAGCTCCAAGGTGACAATTAGAACGGTATCCTCGTTGATGGGCTTGAACTCGCCGTCTCCTATGTGACGTTGTTATTGGGGCAAGCCGAGCACATGGTGGGTTCTATAGGAGGCGATGCCATGGGTGGTTGAGATGATGCCACCTTGAAGATGGCCGTGGTCGGGTGGTAATATCCTCCATGATTGTTGTTCTTCACCGCATGGACTTTCTCCAACAATTTGGTTATCTTCTCCCCACGGCTAATCATGGTGAACATGGGGTGGTTTTGGCAGAGAATTTGTTTAGCAAAGAAGAGGTTGTGATACCAATTTGTTATGAACCCACTTTGCCAACAAAAATATTAATAGGTATCAGTACAATGAACAAGTGCTTGAGGGTTGAAAGAAGCAGTTAGTGGGGTTGGAGTAGGTCAGTCAAAAAAGCTTGAGACTCATGAGCTGCTCGAGCTCGGCTCATCTCAGACTTGACTCAAGCTCGGCTCGGCTCAGCTCAAGCTTCTCACAAGCCTAGATGTATGTTTATTTTTTCTTTTATATAACAAGGTAGTAGGTTAAGAATAAATTAGTGTATATTTATGTAAAAGTAAGTTTTTTTTGGTATTATATATTAATCTTATGTTCTTCTAACATTTTTCTTTAGTATTGTTAACTTAAAATTATTGCTTTTCTAAAATATTAACATCAAAATATGCATTGACATATATACTCAGCCAAACTCATGAGCCTAACCGAGCTCAAGTTGAACCTACTTAAAAGCTCGTAGGAGGATTAGGCTCGGCTCGAGCTCCAGCCTAGACAGGCAGGATGACTCGAGCTCAGCTCGTTGACAGCCCTAGGTTGGAGGTAGAAGATATATGGGCACAAGACTAGAAGGTTCTGGAAACTTTTAGACCATGTAGAGGAAGGAGGGTAGGGAAGTAGATCAGCACACTAGTAGAGGAACGATTTTTCCGTGCGGTCAAAAATGATTTTTGTGTGCGGATCTTCAAACCGTCTGGAATGAAGTGTCCCTAAAAATCGCTATTTTTGCATGCGGGTGACGCACCCGCACGCGAAAAATCTGTTTTTCATGTGCGGGGTGGTTATGTCGCCCGCACACAAAAATAAAAAACCGTGAAAAAAATAAAATCCAAAAAAACAAAACCCTAACCCTAAAGCTGACACCGCCGCCCTCCTCGCGGTCGCTATCATCGTCGTCGTCACCGTCGCGGTCACCGTCGTCGCCATTGCCATCGCCGTCCGAGCCCGCCTGCTGCCACCACCACCGTAGGATCCGGGCGGGGGACGGCTGCCGTCGCCAGATCCGGGTGGGGGGCAGCCGCCACCACCGGATCCGGGCGGGGGGCGGTCATCCACCGCTGCGCGCATGCAGCCGAGCCCGCCACTCCCGGTCACCAGCTGCCGCGCGCACGCCGCTGAGCCACGCGGTGCTGCTGGCCACGCCCGACGTTGTGCGTGCGGACCATGCCTAGGAGTGAGAGTGAGAGAGAGGTGAGAGAGTGAGAGAGGATAGAGAGGTGAGAGAGTGAGAGAGGATAGAAAGGATAAGGATGAGGATGGGTGGACGAGATGAAATTTTTAAGTGTTGAGGAGTGAAAAGAGGAGGAAGGATAGATTTGTAGGCAGGTCTTTATTAAGAGGCCAGTACGTGAAAATTGATTTTCGCGTGCGGGCATCTTAAGGGTCCGCACGCGAAAATGGGAGGCCAATTTTTGCGTGCGGACATGAAAACGATCCGTCTGTAAACTAAATAGCTCCTCGTCCAGGAAAATCGTTTCTCTACTAGTGGCAATGAGCCAAGCCTAGCCTCTAGGTCGCCACCACTGCAATTGCCGGATTTTGCTATTTGTTTGATACCTCCAAGAGCATGTATTGTTGCCTTTGTTCTCTTCCTTGAGCTTAGTTGGGATAGCTTCACTAAGCTGCCGTATCGGCCCGTTGAAAGCCCACTCGATCCTATCATAATCTTGTGATTTGCATTCCAAAATATCAGTTATTGCACTTCAAAGATTTCTAGTTAGTGTTTTGGGATGTATGTGCAAATTGGATCTAGAACAAAGTGAGATATGCAGGTAGGCACATTGAACTGTTGGGTTTTGAGAAAGTAAAACCATCATTCCACCACTTTCTTATATTCACCACCACAAGAAACTTCATCCTGTACCTTGCCTGGACAGTAGACACTAAAGCTACAAATGTTACTAGCCATCCGTCTTCACCAATTTCCGTCACTACTTCAAAATATAAATTAACAATTTGAAACATAATGGTCACAGGATAACATTCAGGAGTTTCTTTATTTAAAAAACCATGACATTCCTGTCAGACAATACCGCCACATAGTTTTTAAAGTTCCTCATAGCTCCATCTACGACATTGTGCAAAAACTCGCTCGACGCAATGAAGAGCCTCTCTACACATGTGCCACACACACTTTACCAGGCAATCAAAAAGTATGTGGTCACTAGTTTCTGGGAATCCACAAATGAGAGAGCTGACACTTTCATGACCTTGCTGACCTCTTTTTTTTTAAAAAAAAAAAAGTTAAGTTGAGCACATTATGTCTTCATTGGTATAGAAAATTCACTACAAGGCACTAATGAGGCACTTTTGAAAATACCACTATAGTATTGTAAAGACATTTGAAAAATGCTTCTGTAGTATTAGAAAAATATTTCTACAAGATATTTTTGTTGTAGTAATATTCTACAGACACCACGTGGTGACATCTTCTGCTTGAAATGTTTTCTAAGTGGAATTGAGAATCCCAAAGAGTAAAGTCTATCACCGGTCCCTAAACTTATACCGTTGTGTCATCCTGGTCCCTAAACTCGCAAATCGACCGTTCAGGTCCTCAAACTTGTTCAATTGTGTCATCCCAGTCCCTAAACTTTCATATCACTCATCTAGGTCCTCCAACTTGTTTAGTTGTGTCACCCTGGTCCCTAAACAGGACGGTCTAAAAATTTTGTATTAAAAAATAATTCATAACTTTTTTATGTGAACTCTAATGAAGACAAACTTTATATTAAAATTGTAGCCCGCGACACGACCTATAAATTTCTAGTTGAAAAGTTTTTGAATTAAAACTGTTTAGGGTCCCAAAATATTGTTGCATGTTTATAGATTTTGAAATTTAAATTTTAAAATTACATTTTGGGACAAAAAATGACTTAAAATAAAAAAAAATCAACTTTATAAGTTGTAGATCGTGTCGAGGGCTACAAGTTTGATATAAAGTTTGTCTTCATTAGTGTGAGGACGACCCAAAGCCTAGGTGGTGCAACGCTCCAAGGCATGTCAGCGCGAAATATCTGGATGGATGGGGTCTCAAATAAAGCCCAAATAAATACGGTAACCATCCA